TGGTTCTGGCGGTTCCACCGTCAGCTGAGGTGGTTGAGTGATGTCACCACTTGGTGATGAGATATCTGGTTCTGTGGTTAACAGTGGATTAGCAGTGATCTGGTTGGGAAGTTCATTTTGAGGGGACTCTGAGTGGGTGTCGGGGTCAGAGCTAATGCTTAGTCAGAGTTGGTCTGACTCATCCCTTTTCTTTTCCTTATGGTGCTTTTCTTGGAGGAGTTCCTTTAAAAGTCTCATGATCTCTGCTGATTCAGATGTAGCTTTCTGGTTCTGTTCTGTGGATGGTTTATATTTGGGCTTATCAAGGGCCTGTTGAGAGGGGTTCTGCTGCTGGCAGTCCGAGCTCGGTGCTTGTGTCTGTGAGTGTCGGTTCCCCTTGGGCCGTCTCTTGGCTTCCCATGTGGCTCCACCCCTTCGGTTGAGGGGTGGTTGTGACCTGTCCCAGGATCTCTCGGGCCGCTCATACTGGTGCTTAGGACGGGCACCACCATGGCCATGCTGCTCTCTGCTGGTTGGGAAGGGCCTTGACATTGTGTTGACGGGTTTGTCAGTGTGGCTTGGCTCGGCGCCCTCTAGAGCAAGTTCAGAGCTCTGATTAGTGACAGGATAGATTGTGGGGGTTTTTCCTGTCTTTTCAGAAACAGTCTTTTGTTTAACATAGGCCTTGTGGGCCAAATCTCGCAGCTGTTGGGTGGACATAGTCCGTGGGCAAGCCAGAACCCCCAAGTGGTGGCTCACTGTTGGGTGCAGGTTCCGGAGAAACAGAGTTTTGAAGTTGAAATCCTGTTCCATTCCTGGCTCGTTTCGTGCTCCGAAGTAGGCCTGTCTGAGCCTGTTGTAGTAAGCCTGTGTGGTTTCCTGTCTGCCCTGTTTAAGGTCCATGGCAGTAATCAGTCCTTGCTCTGACTCTGGGTCAGAGAACTCCTTAATCAGAGCCTGCTGCATTTGCTGGTAATCCCCTTCGACCGTTTCTGGCTGCCTGTCTAGAAAGCTCCTCACCTCACGGCTGGCGGTGATTCGGAGCAGATAGAGTCTGTCTCTTGTGGTAACATTGGCAACAGTTTGCAAGTGAAAGTCAATGTCTTTTAAGTAGGCGTGCACATCGTGGCCCCCTGCAGGGTTTGGAGTGAAAGTGGGAATGTTTCTAGCCAGCTTATCCAATTCTTTAGGTGACACGCCGTGCCTGGAAGACAGCCTTTGAAAAGGCTCCCAGCCCCTTTCTGCTGCTGGGGGTTCAGGGATGCTGGCAGGTGATGTCTTGAGCAGTGGGCTCTCACCCCCCTTTCGAACTGGAAACCCTTGCCTAGCTGGTATCAATCTGCTGGTTAGGGGAAATTCTGTGGTGTGCATTTCCCTTTCCGAGTCACTTTGCAGTCTATATGCATATTTAAGCTCTCGGTGAACCGTATCAAGTTCGTCTTTTAAATAGTCTCTTTGTTGGACCAAGGCACTGACTTCAGCCCGTGAACTTTGCAGGTGGCCTTCGCTGGCCTTGGCCCTAGCATCTCTCTCTTTGAGTTCAGTCTCTGCTCTCATCAGGAGAGCCTCGGCTCGCTGAAGTTTTTCACTTAGTTCCTCTCTGGTGTCTTTCTCCCACTGCTCTCGGCGTGTTGTGTCTACACGGAGATCAGTTAAAGCTTTCTGGAGTCTCTCTACTTCCTCCTGCAGCTCTGGGTCCTTTTCATCCGCCGTCCTGTGCTGGTGCTGAGTCTCCGACGTTAGCTGGTCCAGTTGACTTTGAGCAAGCACCAGGTTTCTCTGAACCTCCTCAGCCTGGAGCTTCAGCGCTGCTGCTTCCTGTTCCATGCGGGAGATGCTTGTTTCTCCCAGCTTTGCCTGAGCGAGGAGGTTGTGGGCGAGGGGCCCGATGATCTTGGTGAGATCTATGTGGCTGTAGTCCTGTGTCGGCTCATGGGACATCAGGGCGCTCAGGTTGTCGTCGAGCTGTTCCCGGCTCAGGTGCTGCAGGCCGCCGGCTGCTTCAGACAGAAGTGTACCAGTTCTGGCACTCAGCCAGGACTCTAGTCGATCCCAGTGGGCATCA